TTATCCAAAAGAAAACACTCTAAATAATAAATTAAATATTACTTATAAAAAGTACACCCTCCCCCCCCAACCGCCCCATCCCAAACATGGTGGCAATTCGCCAAGGTAGGAATTGCCAGGTCTATTTTACAATAATAAAAACAGCATCGTTCCTTCTCCTACCGACGTTGCTTCCTCGCGCTTGGGAACACATGTACAGCACAGAGTGACGCACGCTGGCTCGGGCTGTGTCGTGTTCTCCAGCCAGCCGAGACCAGAATGAGGATGCGTTCAATGCCTTTTGCTGAGAACGTTAACAAAAAGGTCATGGAGCCTCCGAGAACCCAGTTCGACACCAGACAGGACACCGAGCAACTAATGGGGACGCGGGGAAACAAAGCCGACGGGAAAAACAATCTCTGATCACCTACGAAGCCATGATTTTTTTTAAAAAAACCTTCTTCCATCCAGCTTCCAGGTATCCATTTCAGAAGTGAGGCCGAGGGGGTTGCAGCTTCGCCGCCTTCTGCTTCCCGCTGGCGTTGCCCGCCGGGCGCTTCCCTTGCCTACACCTCCCGCGGGATTTAACGAGCGCCTCGGTAACGCTGCCAGCTCTCGCCCTGCAAGCGTTTGCACCTGGTTTTACCGTTGGTATTGCTAAAGGTGGTTCGTGCCTGCTCACGGCAGCACGTGTGAGCATCTGCCTATGGATTTGCAGGACCCAGCGTTAGGTGCCAGCTAGGAGAGCGTCCCAGGAAAGGACCCTCGGTGAGCTACTGCAGGAATTACACCATCAGCTCTGACTGCAGGAGAAAACGCCTGACGCTTCCCAAGGGCTGGAAGGACCCCGAGATGGCCTCACTCTTATCTCGCTCCCATCCTTCCACGTGCGGAGAAGCACTGCCATCGTTTTGCCTGGGTTGCACTGTGTGTTTTGGCAGAAGATGTCAGAGCGAGTGAGCATGCACTGCAAACATGCCCAGAAGCTCTGGAGAAACGTTTTAAAAATATCACCTAGTCTTTAAAAATGTCAAGGAGGGAATCAGGCCAGACACGCAGCAGTCCCACCTAAGCCAGTTTTTAAGGAGCTGGCTCTGGGCAGGGGTTGGTGAAAAGATGCTCCTGTAAAAAACTGAAGGCAAGGCTACTAAGAGAAGAGGCTCAAGGAGTGCCGATGCAAAGAACGGCCCCTTTGCGGCAGAATCTTATTGCAGCATCTGACACGCGACGTCCCAAGCCGCAGAGGAGCCTCGTGGCTGAGATTTCCTTGGCTGCCAGTGCAAATTTGCCACAGCATACTGGGATGTGCATTGCTGCTGGTGGTGGGCTGGGTGCCGTGGGGAGAGCAAGGACCAACCTTTGAAGCATTTGCAAACCTGTTGGGAAACCCTGGAGTGGGCAATCCTGCTGGGAGCTACGTAACTATCTCTGTGCTTCTCCAATTTTTGGCTGCCTCTTAGTTGGGAATTACCAGTTCCCAAACACGAAGGTGCAAACAGCCGGACCAGTATAGGAGATACGATGGTCCTCGCTCCCCGAGAAGTGACACAACAAACCCTACAGCAAAATTCTGGCAGTATCGATGTCCAGCCCCAAATCATGACATAATCAAGATTGTACGCAAGAACCACAAGCAGATTATCCTCCCCCTTCCAAAAATTAAATAGCTTCTCAAAGTGATTGAATCTTTTCCCCAGAAGTGAACATCTAAGCAGTCCACCGGCAAAGATGCTGAGCTAGGGAGCGTTCAGCCTTTTGAACCATTGATATTGCTCCATTTTCAGGTCTTGGAGCAAAAAAAAAAAAAGAGGAAAAAAAAAGAAAATAAAAAATAAAAAATATATCCTTTTTTGGCTGCTGGGTTTTGTTTTCCACCCGTTTATGGCAGCCCTGTTGCATTGATTAGCTAATGATCTTCCATGGTAACATCGAGCTTCACAAGCCCGTCATGCATTGACAATTTCTCATTACATTTTTCTGGGAGTGTCCACGGCTGAGATAGTCACAGGCTATAAATATTCTGACTGTTGAGGAATTTGTCAAAATCCGAAGAAATTCTCAGCCAAGCTCACTGCAAATAAATAGAGCATCAGCAAAGATTTATGCTAAAACACTCAGATGAGTTTTGCAAGTTATGTAGTTCACACATAAGGTGAAATTTTAGAAGAAATGCCTGCTTACTAATTAGTTAGGAATTGTACTAAAATCATCCTCAAATGAAGGTTGGGAATGTCTCCAGGGCTTCTTGGTACAACGACACCCAAATTTAGTGTCGTGTGGCCCAGGGGAGCTGAAGGGTACAGCCCGTTTTTGGCTGTCAAGTGAAGATCTGAAGGAAAATAAAAAAAAAACCAACACCACAACCTACCCAAAAACTCAGTGTTTACGTGGAATAATTTAGTTTTACTGACAAATGCGGAACTTAAATTGAAGCGGAAATTTCTTACTGATTTATTAAAAAAGGGGGTGGGGGAGCGGCTGTGTCTCGCTTGGGCTGAGCTGATAGAGCTGTTCCTTCCCGCGGCCAGAGTACACCAGGACTCGTTTCGGCGTGGACCTTGGCCTCGGTCTGCAAGCGTTATTGATTTAAACGGGCTGAGCCTGAAAACAGACATGCTTCGGACGGCAGAAGAAAGGCTGCGCTGACAGGAGTGCCAGATCAATCTGCAGACCTTCAGGGCTTAGCGTTTAAGTCGAAGAGAGATGCCTGAACAAAACGAAGAGGTTGATCAATACCAAAGCGCCTGGACACTACGACGCTTTTGTCCAAAACAAACAAAATCCAACTTGCAAACCTCCTTGTGGCTTGTCTCATTTTAGGCAATTTGGGATTGTTACACACTTGGTCCTGGATTAGTACTCCGTGATTAAAAAGGCGCAGTGCTGCTCTTTAAAGTCCTGGGGACGGTTTCTGTTCCCAGCGATCCTGCTGCACATCCAGGGTAAGAGAGATTTCATAAATAAGTGAGAGACAGATTTGACCTTACGTTCCTATTTCAACAATGTCGATCTCTGCAAATATGGACGGGGAGCTATTCAAAAGCTGCATTAAGCCTTCTTTCTTCGAGTTAAAAAGGAGGTAGTGATTTTATAGGTTCTAACAGCTGAGCTGGGTTTTCATGGGGAAAGATTTGTGCATTTTTTTTTCAGTAGCAGTTTTTGGTTACAAATCTTTCAGAACTGGAAAGCTCGGCCTCCCAGGCAAACAGGATTTCCTCACTCTCAAGAAATATTTCATTAAAATCTTCGTAAATTGAATAACAAGGCGTTTTTAAAGGAGCATTTTCACAAATACTGTGTTCCTAATGAAGCATTTGAATTCCTCCTTGACATCTGATTTCCTTTCCAGCACAGGGCCGTAGAAAATAATCTGAATTATTACTTCTGTTGCAGTGCCATTTTACTCAAAATATTTTATTCGGAGATTCACATATAATTACCCACCTAATAAAAGGAGCTATTAGGTTGTAAAGATCCTATCCTTTCCATGCTCTTTTAAAATTATGACCCACTCAAGCTTGAAATCAAAGGCAGAGCTGAATGGAATAATTCATCTGAAACTCTCTTATTGGGTTTTGCAGCCTCCTAACTGATAAATATGCAAATTAGATCCCTTTTGGTGATTCAGCTGCATAAACAGGGATTAACGCTGAATGCAGCTGAAAATGTAGCAATAAAATGTATGCACACAAAATTCAGTCAATTCAAGCAGTTATCATTGTCAATAAACACTGTAATGCGCAGCTAAAGCGCTAGGACAAGAGGGAGAGGGAATCCCTAACGATGGCTCACGGTGTCCTGCCGCTCACCGCTCCTCGCTTGCTGTTCTCGTGGATCTCAACCAGGAAATATCACGCTTGCAGAAAAGCCTTCCTAATTAATTTATCAGTTGTTTACCGGCCTCTGTGGTTCTTCCCCCGGGCTCGTGTCCTGCCTGCGGGAAGCGCCTGCTGCCCCTTCACCCTCCTCATCCTCTACCCACCACCATCCCGGGTGGATGGGTCCTCGGAGCAGAGCCATCCCGGGGGATATGGGGATGGGAAAGGCTCAGAGAAACTTCAGCTCTGTTTTCCTCTCCGCTCCGGCTCGCGGTGGCCCCAGCGGTGCGTCCCAATGCCATCACAGGGCGGTCCGGCATAAAGGCCACCCACACGCAGACAGGTTTTATTACAAGCTTAACCATGTCACGACTGCCTGCCAGAGAAGATTGCGTATTGCGTCCTCTTTTTGCAAGTGCACGCTGGCTGGCTGGCAGCAGGCCACCAATGCAGACTTTTGTTTTCTCTCTCTTTTTTTTTTTTTTTTTTTTACATTCCTGGTTCTCTGTTGGCCACACAGAAAACATTAACTACGGGAGGCTTTACAAACGCTTGCTAAAATGGCTGAATTTTACAGCAACTCGCTAATCCCCACCACTCGTGTGAGATGAGTGATGGAGATGACAAAAGAAATTAGTAATTTGTCTTTTCATTTTGTGCTGTTGGGAAAACTTCCAAATTTTTGGTGTGGTGGTGTGATTATTTGCTGTGGGTGTTTTTATAGTCAGTAATTACGTATTTAAAAAAAAACAAACGAGTGACCTACGACACTGTCTCATTAACGGCATGGTCTATGTTTAAAAACATACTTGCATGAGGTAAGACTAGATCTATACAAAGAGCTACAAACCTCTACGGAGTAAAACATGAGTTAGTCATGACAACTTGAGCTCTATGAAGACTAGTAGATCAAAATGAGCAATCCGGTGGCACCAGCTACGACTCCGCCGTGACGTCGTCATTCGCCTTGCCACGCTTTCATCATTTCAGATGCCAGATCTACAGTTCTGTAACATTTCCATTATTATTCTTTCCTTTTTCTTCTTTTTATCATTCCTTTTAGGACTTTGCAGGAATCTTCCTTGCGCTGAAGGAGTGGTACTGGGAACAAGATGATTTTATGGGGTGGTGTACGTGGGTGGTATGCATGAAATCCTGGTATGCTGCAATGCTCCGGGATAATTATCGCTTCGTCAAGAGCTGTTAGAAGGCTGAGCCTGTGATAGCATTGAGTTGCTTCATTAGCCCCTCCAAACTGGCCATCTGTTCACTCAGATCATCCTGCTCATAAACCTGCGAGTGAAGACACACACACACACACAGATAAGCGGGCAGCGGGATGGGAACCGCAACCCCCCCGGCACAGAGCCCCGGACTCCCAGGGCCGCCCCCAGGACATCTTCCCTGCACGGTCCTCAGGGACCGGGAGTGTTCAAGGATGGGCTGACACTTACAGGCGGGATAGCGAAGCCTCTCTGGGCTCAACACGTGAGCTAAAAACCAGGGGTGACCATGCTAGAGCAATATTAAATGTTAATGACCCTTCCCCAAGACCCCATTTCCCCAGCTCCCTCCCTTACGCTACGTGTGTCCATGCTTGGGGGGACTAGGAAAACATTTTTTAGCACCCAACAGAGACATCAAATGCTCATCTAAACATGCCCTATCCTAGGGCAGGCTGCAACCGTTCCTTCAGCAAGTAGCTGAACTTCTCAGCCCTTGCTAGTGGTTGGGAATTTCCACCATCGCTTTTAGTGGGAGCAGAGGATTGGGAACAGTTTTCAGAGGCACCTAACTGGGCTGGAAGAAAGTAATCCTTTGGGGTACGGTCAACTGAGAATCTGCAGCGAAACCTAAAATTACCAGCACTGCACCTATTCTTGGGAACCACTGACCTCAAAAATTACCGAGGCAAGAGCAGGAGGAGTGACGCTCTGCTTTCAGACACTGAGAGGGAGCTCAAACATTAGCTATTTATGTGGGGTTTACCAAGCAAAGGATCTGAAAGTGCTGTCTAAGCCCTGCAGTGGCCGAGGTGGGATGGAGCAGGCTGCTTAAAAGGGCACCCGCAGAGTCAAGCTGAAAAAAAAAATTCCCCAAATTTTAGCCTTTCTCCCCAAATTCTGACCACCCGATGAGCTTGTTGCCTGCACTGGTATTGCCTGTAACTGCCCTCAAGGGAGCTTGAGCAGTGTCTCTCCTGAGAGCTAAATCATGCTGCTGTGATAAAATACGGTACTGAGAGCCGAAATGTGTTGTCCAATGTCCTGTGTTAAATTACTCCTTATGCCAGCAATTTTACCACGGAGGGCATTTTCCTTCCCGTTCCCATTCCAGTAGGAGATTCCATGTCTCTTACATCGTTCTGCGTCCCCTTTTCCCAGCAAAACGTGAGAATCCTTCCGCAACTATATGCAGAAGTATATTTTTATGCTGTTGATAATGACGAGCAGGAGTCAAACACTGTTGTCCTGCATTCATCAGGCAGCAGACCCAAACCCTCCATATGTACGTCTAAAGCAAATCTTTCTTTCCCTTTAGCCAGGTTGAAAACATAAAAGGATTCACTAACAAGATGTTGGACGAGTCACTGCTACAGTGCCTAGCAAAAAATTCTCCTGTGCAAGCAGATGAAAAGAGGAGATATACAACATGTATTTAATATATTTCTTTTTTTTCCTTATTCCTTTTCTTTTGCACTGTTTCATCTTCTGGACCACATGAGACCTTTCTGTAAGAGAGCCTTAATAGGAGTGAAAGGATTATTCTAATTTCACCACCTTTTCAGTTTCACTTATCTACTTCTTTAATGTTATTTTTCTCACCATTATCTGGTATTACTATATACTCATTTTTCCTGCCAAAATTTTCCTCTTCCCTATCGCACTTCTCACCCCCTCTTTCTCTCCTCCCGATATCTCAGAGCGCTCAGGAGAGGTTGTGCGAGTTGTCCCATGGATAATATTAACACAGAATTGAAGCACTCGCTTCTCCCCTGTCTCACACACGCCAAAGTCCATTAAAGTCAAGAGCAAAGTTTTGCCGGCTGCCAGAACTTTATACTAGCTTTCTAACAGCTATCAGCCGCAGCGTAATACCTTAGGTAAGGAGGGACAGACCGTTATCTAAAAACTAATGTGCAGATTGGGGATTAGAGAATATAACTGGAAGGTCAGATGGCAAGAAGGCTGGCTCTGAAAGACGGTTCTTACGTTCGCAGAGTCCTCCGTCGCCTTGTGGCCCTCTTCCGTGACCTCCGGGGCCGTGGGCACCGAGACGGGCAGCAGAGGCGACCTGGCTTTTCCTGCCAAGCCAAGGGATGCTGTTTTAACCTGAGCCTTGGGGAGGTTAGGCCCTGGAAGAAGAAACAAAAGTCACACTGGGAACCTGTAGGTATGGAAAAGGGGACTGCAGTGAAATTTTGGGATTAGAGGCAAAATGCAGCTGGTTTTACCATAGCTGCTTGTGTTTTCAGTGTAAAGGTAGAGGCCCCTTCCTAGGCAGACACTACATCTTCCCGGAGGAGCCAACACAAACACCTCCTAACAATTCTTCAATTGTATTTCACGGGCTCCGCTCCCGAAAGAGGACTCACAGTCGCAGCAGGTTTGCAGTTTCCCGTTGACATTACTTTTTGATGAAGAATGCTATTCTGCAAAAACAAACGTTTTCATACGGAAACTTGAAATTTTCCTGGGAAAAGCACCTACAAAGCCGGTACTCCTGGAAGATAATGAAAACTTGGGCTCCGTGGCCCCTGCCTGGCAGGGAACTGTCAGTTTGACGTTGCGTTTGAGGGGGAAAGTGAGATCGAAGAGCAGAGAGCAGCGGTCAGGCTTGGGGAATGGCAGTTACTTCCATGGTTCTCGTCTGTTTTTGTTTCTAACTCCCTCAAGCTGACAGCAGCCCTCCAGGTGGGTTAGTGAACAAGCTACAATAAAAATTGTCTTTCAACCTTCTCAAAAAAAAAAGTTGTTTCTGACTTTTTATCCCAGCTCGGAAGGAGGAAAAAAAATCAAAATAGATTTTTTTTTTTTGACAGGAAGGGACTTCCCTTCTTCAGCATCTCTGCTGAAACTCCTCCTGCCCACCGCACCGCGCCGCGCTCCTGCTGCTCGGCAAAAGAGGTGGCAGCAGCAGCAGCACTGTTGGAAGTGCTGCCCTTTAAAGATGCACCAACTGAGATGTCTCAGCTCTCTTCTAGAGGAAATTAAAAATTCTTTTGTCTCTTTTAATGATTTAGAACATCAAAGAATAAAACCTTTGTCCTGGACAATCTGCCTCCACTCAGCACAAGGTGCCCGGCTCTACGCAAGGCTCTGCTGGAGATACAAGGGCTGTCAGTTGAAATAGAGGCACACACGACACTGGGGTAGTTTTAAAATGAAAGTTGCCATACAAAGCCAAACTGAGATCATGTATCTCATGCATCACAGATTCAAGGCCAAAAATGGGACGGCAATTTCAAGCTTTCTTGCTGCCAGAGTAATCCTGCTCCCCCCGAAGCTACGGCTTAAACATCCCTACGACCCGCGTAAGGCCAAACTCATTCCAGCGAGTGTCTCTGGCACTTCTTTTCAGCCACCTAGTTTCCCAAAATTTATTCTTCCCATTTTATCAACATTAAACCACTTGATGCCTACTTGTGCCCTAAGGCAAGTTTCATGTTCATACCTTTAGAAATGCAATCCCCAGGCTGATACTTGCTTGGCAGAGGGCATCACATACCAGGGACTGTCAAATCCCCCCAGCCTGGTAACAGCAGATCCCCTCTGGCACTTTGGAGTCTCACAGGGCAGGTTTCCATCTCCCATGGGACTCCACCACAGTTTTTACTCTGCTCATTTGACTCCCATTGAAATCAAGAAGACGAATCATAAATAAATAACTTTTTTCTATATCTTTCCTCCACTATGACCTTCAGCAAGTTCCCTGCCTTTTTTCTGTTAAGAAAATATGTACCATAATAATGATAACAACGGCAGCCATCGCTTTAGTAGCCGATTGTGCTTATTAGAGGTATTAAAAGGCATCAGCCTCAGTAAGTCAAGTAGGCTATCGGCCACTGCATCAGAATTGGACCCAGAAAGAGGAAAATAGGTCTTGAGACACTCCAGCCATAAAATCTGCAGAGAGGAAGGGGTGTCCAAAGGATGAGCCACAGGACGGGTTTGTACGAGGATGCCCGTGGCTCTGGAGCTGAGACGCAGGGACCGGGAGCACGGGAGACGTCTCCACCCACATGGGATGCTCACTCCAAAATCCCCGTCTCAGATCAGAAACCCACCCAGTTTCCACGCAACACCAAACCGTCTTTTTATGAATCTTGAGTTTAAACACCTGTTTGTTTTCTTCATCACTAGATTCCCAAGTGATAACCTCTCTTTTCTTATAGCTCATTAACATACCATGAAAGCACTGCTCCTGAGCCCGGAGCGGGGCTGCCTGGAGAACAGCTCCGTGCAGCTGGAGCAGCCACGGCTCTCGCTCCCCAAATCCCACCGAATCGCTGCAGTCATGACCGTATCCTTACAGCTCCAGCGAGTAGCCGGGAGACAAGAGTTGCAGATTAATTTTCCGGCATTTCAAAGAATTGCGTTTATATTTTTAATTAGTTTAAGGCAGAGAAACCACAATGGAGCAGAAGAGAGAACAAAATCCCTCCCGAAATCCAGTTGCCAACAGCCTGTTCATTAAAAGTGCGTGCCGGTAAAGAGCTGCAAGACGAGGGCAGAGAGGGAGAGACTCACAAACACCCTCTCTGTAAGGCTGAGAATTGCAGATAGCTCCCGTTTAGCTGAAGCTATGAACGTGTGAAAGCTCAATACAACCTAAAAGAGATCGCCACAAAGATATGCTCGCTCTTCCAGCTCCAGTTTAATAGCTAAAAGACTTCTTTAATAACTGGGCCTTCAAACTTCCCTGTATCTCAGACTAAGAGTAGAAGATACAGCTATCCCCAAAGATTCAATCTTCTAAGCGCTGCACTTTCAAATCAGTTTTTAAAAAAAGGAAATGTTTTTCACTTCCATTTCTTAATATTATTTCCAAAGGCGGGGGGGGGCAATACACATACACCGACACTCAAAACGCGCACCCAGCAGTTACACACCGAGGAACGCAAGAGCCTGATTCTAAAAACCAAAGTGCTGAAGCTACCGTCACAGGCAAATTAACTCTACGCTGCCTGGTGCACAGACTGTGGCTTCTCAACATTTTTTTTCCCCCAGTGCTTTGAAAACACCTGCAGCGCTCAGCAAAGAAGCAAAGTGCAGCTGTGGCCCCTGCAGCTGGCAGCTGTGGCCGTACTTCTATTCCAGTAGCGCTCGCGTGCCCTGCTAAAGACAGATTTATCCGATTCCTGTCACAGGGAATCTGGATTGCGTCCTGGGATATCACTGTGACGTGAAGAATAAATAATAAGATACAGCCACCGCAGAAAATTGCATCCATGCTGTTTATTGGTTAGATAATGGACCCAAAGAGGCTTTTTTTGTACAAGTGACTTCGCATTGCGACTTGTTTGATTTTCATGGGCTGGTGGAGAAGTAAATATTTGATGTGGTGGTGAGAAGCTCATGTGAAATGCAGAGTAGGTTGCTATTGTAATCTTCTAAATCTTGTGGTAAAAATCATGTTTCTCATATGTAACTCATTAATTGTAGTAATTGGACTTAAAGACCCACTTTTCTGCACAAAAACAGATGTTCCCTCCTGGATATTGCTAATGAGAAGCCATAATGATGATTAGTAAGTTCGGTTTGCGCATCTTTTTGCCCTTTAGCTCACAAAAGCAACAGGCAAATCGTAATGCTCATAACTAAAATGAAACTGAGAAAATTTTCCTTATGCATAGCTGCATATTTCAAGTTCTTCAGCAAATGTTTTACAGCAGTGACTGTTTTCCAAGGCAATGCCTGTAATACGTAATTAGTACAATAGTTGAGCCCTCTTCCCCCAAAGGACGTTAAAAAAACCAAGCAGAAGACCTCTCGATGAGAATTCTGCATGCAGAAGGCTGACATGCTAAATAAACTAATTTATGCAAATGAGTAGCTAATTAAATTAATATCAGTTTGGTATCTAATGTTCTCCAACTCAGCGGGAGTCTCACAAGTAAAAAAGAAGAAACCTTGGAACTGGGACCGCAAGAGGCAGGAGATACCAATACCGATCAGGTGTAACTGAGCAGCCCCAGCATGGATTCACTGTTTAAAAGTTTCGTTTTCTCAGCAGGGTTATTAAACACTCCATCAGTTAGATGATACATGGCTACCAGGTGCAAATCCCAGCTCCCGCCCCCTCCCCGAGGCCCATACTGAACTCACTGCGGTATCACCCTTGGTTTCAGGATTTCAGGAGCATGCACACCAGTGCAATCCTGCGTCAAGTCCGAAAGCAGCAGTTTTCTCAATCTACACGCATTTGTGCATATCAGGCCATATGTTATCATGATGGACACCAAGTAAAACCAATATAGCATCCATCCTCTTGATAGCAATACTCTGGCGGAGCTTCTTGGCATTATTTTATTTTGAGATACGTCAAACGGGACATGAGATGATGTACTCAGCCAGGTGAGAACAACTCATTTCAGGGAGAGGGCTCAGGGTTTCTGCTGTTCACGTTGCAGGGTTTCCAAAGGCCAGTGCCCGGCAGCAGGGAGCACAGTGAGCTGGAAGCTCGGAAAGTGTCAAAAAATGCTATGTTAGCACTCAATGGATCTAGGGTCTGTATCAAACTTGAAGACCAAATATTCTTGTGTGGTTCATGTGTTACAGGCATTCTGGGTGATGATGCAAAACAGTGACATGGAAAAAAAGAGTTGAAGTGGAGAAGATGGAGATGAATACAAAAATTGAAAGGAGCTAGTTTATGGAGAGACGGCAAGAAATCATGCTCAATGGAGAATATCGGAGTAGAAGGTGGCTACCAGTGGAGTTCTTCAAGATCCGGATCTAGGACTGATTCTTAATATTTTGATACATACAATAGGTGCGTGACTATTACTAGCAAAAGCTTGGAAATACAGCTGGAGCAACACGAAGAGAACTGCACGGACCTTTCTGCGTATCTGCTGCTCAGCCAAACTTTTGGACTTTCACAGCAAGGAGGCGAGACCGCGTATCACGTCCCTTCAGCTGAATTTCACATCACTTCAGCTGTTTAAGAGTGAGGGATGAATCTCTGCTGGTTCTTTCATCTCCTTCGGTAATCTATGGAAAGAAGCACCTTCCAAAGTCTGCGGGGAGGTTGGGCAAATTGTCCCCTCTCTCTCCTTTGGCTGCACAGCAAGCTTCTGTGACCGGCACAGAGCAGACACCTATCCATCAGAAGTCTAAAATTCGCCAGGAA